TTATAAATAGATGTTCTGAATAGTCCTACATCTATTAAGAAATTGACTTGATAGTTAAAAAATATTTCTACTAAAATTTCAGGAAGGAAATTGCAAGTCTATACAAATTTTCAGAAAATAAAGCTCTTTACATATTTTTACTTTGATTTCAAAAACCAAACAAAAATACTACAAATAAAGGTAACAAAAATCAATGTATCTCATGAAAATATGTTAAAATCTATAGGAAATCATTAGAAAATATAGTGTAGCAATTTGGAAAAAGGATTAAATGTTATGAACAAGTGTTATTTATCCTGGAAATTTAAAACCGAATCAACACGTAGCCCCTGCTAATGCACACTTCGAGAGATAGTAGATGTGGTTTTAGTACTTAGGTCCCTGCCACCCACATAGGAAACCTGCATAGAATTCCTGGTTCCTGGCTTTAGCCTGTCCCAGTCTGGCAAATTGCAGACATTAGGAGTATGAACCAGTTGATGGAAGACTGATTATCTATATATCTATGTATTTATTGGTTACCTATTATCTCTTTATCATGTCTATCTTTTTCTCTGCCTTTCAAAATAAAATGAAAAAGAACTTAAATTTTAAAAGTCAGTGTAATTCACCTATTAGCCTACTTATGGAAAAAACTCACATAATTGTCAGAATAGATGTGAAAAAAGAAGAAATTTACAAAATTCAATATATACACATGGCTTTATAGTAACAACAATAGAAACAAAATCTCTCAACAATCTAAAAATAGGAGACTGCATCAACCTGATAAAAGGCATGCATGAAAACACTATAGCAGGGGCCGGCGCTGTGGTGTAGCAGGTTAATGCCCTGGCCTGAAGCGCCGGCATCCCATATGGGTGCCAGTTTTAGTCCCGGCTGCTCCACTTCTGATCCAGCTCTCTGCTATGGCCTGGGATAGCAGTAAAAAAAAAAAAGATGGCCCAAGTCCTTGGGCCCCTGCACCCATGTGAGAGACCCGGAAGAAACTCCTGGCTCCTGGCTTCGGATTGGCGCAGCTCGGGCCGTTGCGGCCATCTAGGGAGTGAACCAGCAGATAGAAGACCTCTCTCTCTGTCTTTACCTCTCTCTGTAACTCTGTCTTTCAAATAAATAAAATAAATGTTAAAAAAAGAAAACTCTTTTTTTTTTTTTTTTTTAACTTTTATTTAATGAATATACGTTTCCAAAGTACGAATAATGGATTACTATGGCCTCCCCCCCATACCGTCCCTCCCACCCACAACCCTCCCCCCTCCCACTCCCTCTCCCCCTCCATTCACATCAAGATTCATTTTCGATTATCTTAATATACAGAAGATCAGCTTAGTATACATTAAGTAAGGATTTCAACAGTTTGCTCCCACACAGAAACATAAAGTGAAAAATAATAGATGATTTTTTTTAATGATGATGAAATCAGATCAGACCTATTGTCATGTTTAATCCCAGTGAGAGTCAAGTTGGGAGTTGATAGTTTCTATTCTTTTCTTTTCTTTTCTTTTTTTTTTTTTTACAGAGGATCAGTTTAGTATGCATTAAGTAAAGATTTCAACAGTTTGCACCCCCATAGAAACACAAAGTGAAATATATTATTTGAGTACTCGTTATAGCATTAAATCTCAATGCACAGCACATTAATGACAGAGATCCTACATGAGGAGTAAGTGCACAGTGACTCCTGTTGTTGACTTTACCAATTGACACTCCTGTCTATGGCATCAGTAATCTCCCCATGCTCCAGTCATGAGTCTCCAAGGCTATGGAAGCCCCTTGAGTTCTCCGACTCTTATCTTGTTTAGACAAGGTCATAGTCAAAGTGGAGGTTCTCTCCTCCCTTCAGAGAAAGGTACCTCCTTCTTTGAAGACCTGTTCTTTTCACTGAGATCTCACTCACAGAGATCTTTTGCCAGAGTGTCTTGGTTTTCCATGCCTGAAATACTCTCATGGGCTTTTCAGCCAGATCCGAATGCCTTTAGGGCTGATTCTGAGGCCAGAGTGCTATTTAGGGCATCTGCCATTCTATGAGTCTGCTGAGTATCTCACTTCCCATGTTGGATCACTCTCCCCTTTATTTATTCTATCGGTTAGTGTTAGCAGGTACTAGACTTGCTTATGTGCTCCCTTTGACTCTTAGTCCTTTCATTATGATCAATTGCGAACTGAAATTGATCACTTGGACTAGTGAGATGGCATTGGTACATGCCACCTTGATGGGATTAAATTGGAGTCCCCTGGTATGTTTCTTACTCTACCATTTGGGGCAAGTCAGCTTGAGCATGTAGCTAACATCATACTTAATATTACTAATATGATGTTAGCTCTGACATTCACTTAGTAGTGAATACCTAAACACTCCCCTGAGATTGGAACATAAGCAATGACGTCTGCTTACATCACTCCTATGCAGTATCTCATAAGAAGTCCTGCTTAATGCAGTAAGGCAAGAACAAGAAAGGTGGATGCATGGAACAATTAGGATGACTCTCAAACACATTATGCGCAGCGAAAGGAATCAGATTCAAAAGGCAACACCCTATATGACTGGTTTTGACATTCTGGAAAAGGCACAACTATGGTGACAGAAAATAGGTCAGTGTTTTCCAGGGACTAGGGTTGCAAGAAGAGTTTGCTTATAAAGTGGCATGGGAGAGTTTTGGAATGTGATAGAATTATTCTTTATTTTGTTTATGATGGATGTTACATGAGAGTATTTGCTATAAGCAATATAATGGTATACAAGAAAGGATATGTTTTCTTTATTTTTTATTTATTTTTTTTGACAGGCAGAGTTAGACAGTGAGAGACAGAGAGAAAGATCTTCCTTCTGTTGGTTCACCCCACAAATGGCCACAACGGCCAGCGCTGCGCCGATCCTAAGCCTGGAGCCAGGTGCTTCCTCCTGGTCTCCCATGTGGGTGCAGGGCCCAAGCACTTGGGCCATCCTCCCCTGCCTTCCCGGCCCACAGCAGAGAGCTGGACTGGAAGAGGAGCAACAAGGATAGAACTGGCCCCCGACCAGGACTAGAACCCGGGGTGCCGGCACCGCAGGTGGAGGATTAGCCAAGTGAGCCACAGCGCCAGCCAGGATATGTTTTCTGGTATGTGAATTTGACCTCTGTATGTCTCACAGCTTAAAGAAAATCTTGCCCACACAGAGAAGCTATGCTGTAGGTTTTTCTATGAAATGAAATTCTTGCAATTTTTAAAAATGGGGCTGCAATTTTTTTTTTCCAGAGCTCAGATGCTTCTCTCTATGCTCTTTTTGGAGTTTGGATGTATAGAAAGATGATTACTTTCATCTACTTTTGATAAAAGATGGAAGAGAGCAATCTGGGTATGTACTATGAATTACTGGAGTGGCCCATAATGTTTCCAATTTAATCTCCATATTTGCTCCCAAGCAAGTTCAAATAAGGTTTCTATCACCTGCAAGACAGTTCTGAGAAATGTGTGGAAGTACAGTTGCACAAAACTGTTATACAAGGATGTGTGAGATGTGTTATAACAGAAGTAAAATGAGTATGGTTGCAGAATGGAGGGTGTGATTAAGTCTGACTGGGGTAACAAGGATAGAAGACATTTGTAAGTGGAGGAATCATAAATTTAAGAAAAACAGCTGCAGAAAATGCAGAGGATATTAGTAACTGGACAGATGGGTGAGAGTTTGTGGTGCCTTCTGAATGAAGAGGTCCAATAGAGTTAAAATGTAGAGGCACATGGTGGAAGGTGGACTTGGAAAGGTAGATCTTAGCAAACAACAGAGTGACTGTCCTGTGCTCAAATGTTTGAGAACTTTAGTCTTTAGAGGGTTCTATAAAGAATAGAGAGTGACATGCTCGGGAAGATAATTTAGATGGAGTCTGAGGAAATACCAGAGATTAGAAAGGCTGCTATTCTGGATTAGAAGGCCTACATAACTATGCTCTGCACAGACAGAAAGGATATGATAACATTGATGTTACTATTATAGCAGTTAACCATTCACTTATCACTTCCTAAGGGCCAAGCACTATGCTCAAGTACTTCAAATGCATTATCTCACTTTATCATGACAGCCATAAAGTAGATAGCTAATGATTTTCCACTTAGTACACAGGAGTGGGGTTGATCCACCCCATTGGCTTTTTCACCTTTCCATAGCGATGAGGACATCAGAGATAGGCATGTATCCCAAGCCATCTAACAAGCATACTACCACCCACACTTCCACCCATCAACTATAAGGTATGTCACTCATCATATTTATTTAGATTTATTCCCATGACATTGGTGGAAATTATTAGTAAAAGAAGAATTATTTCATCTGCTTGAGACAAAAGATGGAAGACAGCTCCCTTTAATAATTTTTAATTGGTTTTAATTATGAGTTTTAGTCCTGAAAAATACTCTATGAAATAGCACTCTGTTTTACACATTAACCTGGAAAACACTGTATATTGTATCCCTTTCAGAACTTCATAAAGGATCTAGAAATCTTACTTGAAAGTCTATTTAACTTTGTTTAAATCAGCTTTCTCAAAGGTAGATAGTGATATTTCCCTTTTTACACATTAACTTATCACCATCTACCACATTTCAGGAAACAGTTCTAGGCATTTATCTGCCTACTGTGGTTAAACCAGCCAAGGTTTTAATAGCAGGATAAAAGGCATTGCTTACCTTATCTCCCACACCTTGTGAGGTTGCATTTCTCAGACCTTCCCCTCCAAGACTTGTAATGGTGTAGATCAGAATCTGAAAACAAACAAACATAAAATGAAAAGAGCAAGGGGCCTATTTTGGTCAATTTGGAATTCTACATCCCATAAAATTCTACTCTCTGCCTTAAGGAGACCCAAGAATCCATCACTCAACAGCTGTGGAGATCATAATGTTCTATTTGGTTTATTATCATGACCAAGACCCGTCCCCCCCTCCCCCCCCAATAAAAGGATACTCAAGCAGATTCGTTAAGAAAAGGAAGGGCAGGACTCTGGCTCTGCCTCCAGGAAGTTGGCCACAGAAATAGGGATAATGGAGGAGAAGAGGCGTTTCTGGCCCAGTGGCAACTGGGGAAGCCAACAGCAGCGGCAGCGACCAGAAAGGGCAAGGGGCGATACCTTTGTCATTTTTTCCTGATGATGATCCACCGGCGAGTCTCCAATATCATCTGTTTCCTCAACAATCACCCTCGTGGAGAAAGGGTTCTGCAGGAACAAGCTGGCACAGATGCGTGCGAGAGCTTTCGAGGTGTTGGCACTTCTTCAATGCCAGGGAGATGCTACATTGGCAATATCCATCTGAGTGACCTTAAACCCTGGGGTGGCAGCAAGGACACTTCGCAAAAGAATGTGTGCAAACAATGCTGGGCATATTGGATTCTCCCCAACGTAGGCACTATTCTCATAGGTTTCCTGGGTCATCACTACACACTGGAAAGCTATCTTAATGAAACCTTGCTGAAATCCGAAAAACACGTCAACTTGGAAGTGAAAATTGGAGGCTACTCTCCTCGAATCCTACCTGTTACATTCATCCACCTTGGAGCCACGATGGTTGGCCAAATAGCCTCCTCTGAGACCATTGTCCTTTCTCTTTCACTTTATGTGCTTGCTGGTGTTTCCTCTTTTCTCTGGTTTCCACAAGCACCCTGTGGTTTTTAAAACTTTCTGTTAGTAAATGCAGTTCATATGTTACAGTGACAATTGTTCTTTGGTAAAAGTGCCTGCTTTCCAATATTTCCAATGCACATTAGACATTCTTAACAGGACAGCACTCCAATTTTGAAGCTTTTCCCTCTTCTCTCTTAACTAAATTTTAAAAAAAAATTCTGATTTAACTTTATTATTTACTGTAAGGTGCTTAATTCATGAGGTAAAGGAACATACCTATAATTTCAAATACAACTGCCAAATGATCTTGTTCCTTGTTTATATTTATTAAAACTAGAAAAAGCACACACACACACACACCCTGTCCTCATTTTCCCCTCCCAAGCCAGTGTAGCAGGCAGCTATTCCCATCCCATGAATCCAGCCCTTTTTCTGTCCAAATGGTGCTGAACAAAACTATATTTCCTTTGAAATTGAGGTTGGAAGAGACAAAGGAAGGGAGAGATGTATTGGGATGCTAAGACCCTAATGAATTTGGAGGAATCTTTCTTTCAAAAAACATGGAAATATTTTGAATATCCAATAAAAGGTAGCCAAGGGACAGCAGCATTCACTTTGGTTTGGTACCAGTTTCTAACCACTGTTGTCCCTTGGCTACCTTTAATTGGTAAAATATAAATGTATAATTATGTGTATGTGTATAGAATAGTTTTAGCAGAGATTTTGCTACTTTTTTGTTTATTGATCTGCAATTTTTAAGAAACCTTTTATTTAATGAATACAAATTTCATAAGTATAAATTTAGGAATATAGTGGATCTTCCCAAAATACCTGCCCTTCCCTTCCACCTCCACTCCCATCCCACCAGCTCCTTCCAGTCCCATCTCATTATTCATTAAGATTCATTTTTAATTGACTTAATATACAGAAGACCAACTCTGTACTAAGTAAAGATTTCAACAGTTTGCACCCACACAGACACAAAGTATAAAGAAGTGAGAACAAGTTTTACAGTTAATTCTTATAGTACAACTCATTAAGGACAGAGGTCCTGAGGTCCTGCATGGGTAGTAAATGCACAATGACTCCTGTTGTTAATTTAACAATTAATACTCCTAAGTATGAAGTCAGTGATCACTCGAGGCTTTTGACATGAGCTGCAAGGCTATGGAAATCCTCTGAGTCCACAAACTCCATCAGTATTTACACAGGACCATGAGCAAAGTGGAAGTTCTCTCCTCCCTTCAGATAAAAGTGCCTCCTTCTTTAATGGCCCCTTTTTTCCACTGGGGTATCAGTCACAGAGATCCTTCATGTAGGATTTTTTTTTTTTTTTTTTTTTTTGCCACAGTATCTTGGCTTTCCATGCCTGAAATGCTCTCATGAGATTTTCAGCCAGACCAGAATGCCTTAAAAGCTGATTCTGAGGTCAGAGTGCTGTTTGGAGAATTTGTCATTCTATGAGTCTGCTGTGTAGACTGCTTCCCATATTGGAACATTCCCTCCTTTTTAATTCTATCTATTGTTATTACCAGACACTTGATCTTATTTATGTGATCCTTTTGACACTTAATCCTATCTAAATGATCAATTAAACACTTAATATGATCACTTTAACATGTAAGATGGCATTATTACCACCCAGCTTAATAGGAGTCCCATGGCAAGGTTTTAGCTTTACCCTTAGAAGGAAGCCCACAGGAATGTATGCAGAACTATACAGCTCCTCCCTCTCTTATTCCCACTGTTATTTATTTACTGGGATCTATTTTCAATTGACCTTATACACATATGATTAATTCTATGTTAAGTAAAGACTTCAACCAATGGTATTAAGAAGGAAAAAAAAAAATGTGTCCTCGACAATCAAGACAAGGGTTGTTCAAGTCATTGCTTCTCATAGTGTCAATTTCACTTCCACAGGTCTCCTGTTAGGTACTCTGGTAGTTATCAAAAATAGAGAGAACATATGGAATTTGTCCCTTCGGGATTGGATTATTTCACTTATTTCCCCATTTTACCAAAGTAAAAGACTCCAGTTTGAACTTCTGTTTCCCCAGTAAAATGACTTCCATAAAAAAAAGGCATTTGAAAGTGGGAGATCATTCTGAGACTGTTTTCCATTTCATTTGTATTTTATTTCCACAGCTCCAACTTGTGATTTTGTCCTGTTCTTTTCATCAAGAATTAAAAAGTAAGTAGTTTTTTCCCTCAAAAAGAGAAAATAAAGAAAAGGAAAGAAAAGAAGGGCATTGAATGGTCCTGTGCAGAAGTGGAATTTGCATTCTCATTTGCACAATCAACTAGAGGTCTCTCTCTCTCTCTCTCTCTTTTTTTTTTTTTTTAAGATGTATTTATTTATTTATTTGAAAGTCAGAGTTACACAGACAGAAATATCTTCCATCTGCTAGTTCACTCCCCAAATGATTGCAGCGGCCAGGGTTGGGCTAGGCCAAAGCCAAGAGCTGGGAGTTCTTCTGGGTCTCTCATGTGGGTACAGGGGCCCAGATACTTGGGCCATCTTCCGCTGCTCGCCCCACCTGCCGCCATTAGCAAGGAGCTGGATTAGAAGTGGAGCAGCAGGGACACACACTAGTGTCCATATGTGATGGTGGCATCACAGGTGGCAGCTTTTCCCCCATACCAAAATGTTGGCAACAGAGGTTTCCCTTGAATGATTAAGAAAATGTCCAGTATGTCTGGTACAATGCTGAGTGTGGTAAATACAGAAGGAATTAGATCAAACATTGTTGTCTTAGTGCTGAATTCATGTAATGTTCTTATTGCAAATTCAATGATGTCTTGAAGAAATTCCCATAAGTTATAATTTACTGCAGATTGTCTTCCTTTTAACACCTGATGAAGTGATACACAAAATGCAAGCAAAGCGTGAAATAGAAGAAAATCATAATTTTTACAGGAGAAAAGTGTTTTACAAGATATAATAAAGACAGTTTTAGACAGAAGGTCATCAGTGGTGGTACTGGTGACTAACATAGGATCTGAAATGATGCCAATGAAAATTAAAAACTTTTCTTTCCGAGACATTTGAGATACAGAGGAACTCCTCTCTCCTCAGGAAGCTTTACAGTGTTTTGCTGATGACAAACTAGTGTAGTAAAAATAAAAACACATTGAAATGGAATTTTTACAATTGTTAAACACTCAGCAGCACTGTGGGAAAAATACAATAAACCTTTACATACCCAATCTGTCTTATTTTAGCACTATTTTGCAAACAATTGAGAATGCTTAACAATCAATCCATGTTAAAATTAGCTCAAGATATACAATCTCTGAGTGAATTACATTGAAAATATTCAAGAAATCTAAGGTGATTTTAGTGTTTTTAGATTTTCATTTAGAAAAACCCATGACTGGTATTCCTCATTATCTTGTTGAACAGCTTTTTGCCTGGATAAGGGTAGGAAATTTTAATAGAAACTTCTAGAAAACATGTTCTAGAGATAGTTTCAAAGCTAAAATAATGTAGAAGACAAAACACCAGAATTTCAGGGGCAGAAAACAGTCTGTTCTGACAGAATTTACAAATTCCTGGGGTGGGGATATGAGACAGACATGTACATGCCTGAACACAATCAAGGACATAATGGGGGTGAGAAGGGTTTGAAATCATCCACACGGCTTACTTCTACTTTACTATTTACTGTTGTCATCAATAGAACATTTCCATTCCTGGATGCTTCTGTCCTAGAGAATAAAAATAACAAAATAACTTCATTGTTCATTCTAGTAACTTCCTGCAAAATCCCATCACTTTTTAATAGAAAGTGTCAATGACAGTTTACACCCTAACCCTCTCAGAACTCTCCACTTCAAAATATATCCCTTACTGCATTTACCAATCCTAAACTATCATGTGAAGACCCTACCCAATTCTAATCAAGCCATCACACTGAAAGATGTACTTTAAACCGACGTTAAAATCTTAATAAATATCCAACTTTTCTCTTTCTTTTCTGAGATGCTACTGAGACTCTCCAGAGGCAGTGCATTCTTTACCACAGTGAACTTTTTCTTAGCAACTAGTAATATTAGATATTTTGTGGAGCCATCATTAGACAATCTTGGGAGTGTAACAGGGAATAATGGGGTGCATAATGAATCTTACTAGTCATAGACTTTATGGAAGTGGGCTTCATTATTAGAACCTTTTTTTTTAAAAGAAATTTTTATTGAAATGCAGTATATATACCAAGAAATGCATGTCAGTGTAGAGATAAATGATTTTTTGTCCTCTGATCACATCCATAACCAACACAGAAATTAAAAATTACTAGTATCCCAAGAGTTGTCACTATTCCTCCCCTTTCTTTCTTTTTTTTAATTTAATGTGGGAAAGAAGAATATATTTTTCATTTACATGGTATGAGTCAGTGAATCAATATTCATAACTAAATGATATGGTAGCTGTATGATATGGTAACTAAATGATATGACATTCATACAACTTTTATACTCTCTCTATATACTAACTACCAGAAATAAGGAAAAATGTGATATATGTCTGTTTGGGGCTGGCTTTTTTCACTTAGCATATGATCTACAGTTGCATCCATTTTGTTGCAAATGTCTGGATGTCATTCTTTCTTATGGCTCAATAATATTTCATTACGTATACATATACATATACATATATACATATATAATCATATCTTTTAATCCAACCAATCTTTTACCACAATGCTTTGCCTCTGTCAGATTATAGCCAAATACTATTTTGCAGCTACTCATCCATACAGAATGTGGTGTTATTGTGAGGAGTCAGATGGGTTAATAGGTAGTCAGGGTGGTCCCAATAGAATTTGGGTGTAAAACATCCCTCCCTCCCCAAACATTATCTTTAGCAAGAACAAACAGGCTGCCTTCCTTCCTTTGGAATCTCCAAATTTACGATGAGAATAGCAAGGAAGCTCTTCCTGAGCTCACAGCTTATTGTGAAAATAAGTTACCTATCCTACCCTTCTGGATGGTTGGACATGATGGAGATATGTAAATCAGGTCTTTTGATGGGTTTTGTCCCTGCCTGG